GTGCGGGTACTTGCATGCATATATAGATATATATATACACATATATATATATACGTCTAATAAATATATGTACATATATACTGCTTACAGAATATACTAATTTCTTGAAGATGTGTGTGTGTGTGTGTTGGTTGTGTGCTTAACAACAAATCAAATCAAATCGTATCAAATTGCGTTCACTGGGTGACTCCATTTGCTGCTGTTGCTGCGGGTGTCTCATTTTGTTGCTAGTGCAGGTGCTGTTGCTGTTGTTGTTGTTGTTGTTGTTGCTTATGCTTCTTTTACTGCTATTTAATTCATCCACTTTCGACAATTGGGCGCACCACAAGCGCAGGGTATTTTATGTGCATCATCCTCAATATCAAATTTGTAATCGTACGAGAGCTAAGCAACATAAAATGAATCAAATATTTATGAATATTGCCAACATTTTCAATTATCCAATATGGGAACTCACCTCTTCGCCTCGATAGATCTTACGCTTAGCGAATATTATGATGCGCACATCACGATCGACCTCAACGATCTCGGTCACACAATTGGGATTGCAGGAGTGATTGATATAGCGCGCTAGGCCGCCGCTCAATGTGGCATCGACAACGCGATCCTCATCCAGGCGGAACATATAGATACCACGATTCTGTTGGCAAATGAACATCATATTAATATACAACTCCAAAGGGAGAGAGAGGGAGGGGGGAGTGTGTGTGTGTTGGCTCACCTTTGACTCGTATTGCTTCTCACGTATCTCCGATACTTCAGTGCGTATCACCTCGCCAATATACTCAATGATCATCGTGTGCTTCTCGATGTCGCGTGCCGCATACAAGCCCAGGCCCTGGATCTTCGAGCTGTTATGCAAACGAGAGGAGTATAAGTCATAGATTTGTATATATGTACCCATATATAGCCGGAGAGGTATGTAGCTTACCGTGCCAGGTAGACATTGTTGCGCCATTCCTGCTTCATCTTTTTGTACTGCGAACTCTTGGAGTGCACAAACTGTTTGCTGTAGGGGCACGCCACCTCGCCCGCTATTGCCGCCGAGTTGGCCATGCGCTGGGTGCTGCAGCTGCCGGCGGTGCGTTGGGTGTGCGGCTTGCGCCAGACGAGCAGCTGGCGCTGCTTGGGCTCGGTGCGTGCCGCACCGGACGGATTGATGGCCAGCGGGAACTCCAGCAAAGGGTTGCGTCCATACTTGAAGCGATAATCGGTGAGCGTCTCGATGCCGGGCAAACTCTCCAGGATGCGCACAATGGCCGGCTCGGTCAGGCCAAAAAGATCCTCGCCGCTAATGTGCTGCGGGAAGAGCTGCAGCCAATTGTGCTCCTTGCGCAGGCGCTGTATGGGCTGCAGTATCTGCTGCCAGACGGCCGAGGGTGTGCTGTCCCGGAACTCCCTGTCCGGCTCCTTGTCGTTGCCGTCGTGCACCTGGATGCGAAACTCGGGCCGGCAGCCGACCTCGGCAATGGTGCAGACATAACGACAGCGACGATTCGGCCGACGCACGCACCAATAGTAGCGACTCTAAGGGATTTACAAGAGAAGGGAACAGGTGAGATTCGCTGCTGGCGAACTGCAAGAGCTGAGAATATACTGACCACCGTGTAGCCAATGGGATAAATGTAGTGGGGCGTATGGAAGGCCTCCAGCTGATGCGGCAACAGCTGGCCCACATTGAGGAAGGTCATGTTGCCGACCCGCAACAGATTGCTCAGCTCCGAGTAGTGCATGACCGTGGCCACCTGACGGTTCTCGTCACGATTGACAAACACCCGGCGATGCACCACAAACGAGCTGAGCTCGTTCTCGGTGACGCCCGCCGAACTGTTGGCCGCATGGGCGCTGCAGTGCACCGACTTGTTCTTGTAGAAGATGCACTCCTCCTTGATGGCGCACGGCAGGTGATAGAGATTGCTGCAGCGCGACTTGAAGCACTTGATGGTGGCGCCCAGCTGATGGCAGGCGCTGCACGCCTGATTCAGCCCCGACTGCAGGGCCATCGGAAAGTTCATCAATGCGCCCGAGACGGTCTCATAGACATCATTGGACCACAGTGCACAATTCAAATGGACCTGCGTATGGGAACGACACATGGACATTCAGTTCAGATTCAGTTGCTCGGCTTGCTTGCTGCATTGCAGTCGCCACACTCACCCATTTGTCCACATCGAAGTTGAGCAGGCGCGAGGGCCCATCGGCTTTGCCATCGCCGCGCTGATTGCAGAAGACGCACTGGCGCAGATCCTCCAGCGTGTCCGGATTGAAGTCTGTCTCCCAGACGGTGTTGTTGGGCGCAGCTGCTTCGTTCTCCTGCTTGATGGCTGCAGAGGCTGGCGAGGCTGCGAAGCAGTCGGCGCTGTAGTACTTGATGATGCACTTGCGCTTCACGGGCGGCGGCGTTGGCTCCGATTCATTCTGTGGCTGCTGCTGCTGTTGCTGTTGCTGCTGCTGCTGCTGTGATTGCTGCTGTTGCTGCTGCGACTGTTGCTGTGATTGTTGCTGCTGCTGCTGCTGCTGCGACTGTTGCTGTTGCTCCATATCCACATCTTCGGGCTCCACCTTAACAATGGGCAACATGTTCATGCATGAATCACTTGCTGCAGACGGCGCAGCTGAAGTCGGCGTTGCACCTGCCGCTGCACCCGCTCCCGCTCCCGCACCCGTTCCCGCTGCTGTCGCTGTCGCTGTCGTTGCCTCCTCCTCCGCCGGCTCCTCCTTGCCGCGCCACTTGTACTGCGCATAGCAACTGCGATTGCAGAAGTAGGCGTACGGCGGCGGCGGGGATTTGCGCGGCAGCAGCGAGCGCAGCATTGCCAGCATGGGCGACGGCTGCTCCTCGGGCAGATTCTGGTACGGCACACGCAGCCCGAAGGCGGCAATGATGCTGCCGCAGCCGCGGCACAGTTTGCGCTGCCCGGTGAGTATTTTGCGCAGATTGCCCTGACTAGTGAGAGCGGCAGCGGCACCAGATTGACCCGGGCCCTGGCCCGGCTCCGGCTCGCTCGGCTCCTTGGCCTTGTCCGCGGCGGAGGCATCGATCAGTTTGCAGGTTAAGGCGGGCGTCAGGTGCAACAGATTGGCCAAGTCCCGCAGCACGCCGGCAATGTTGTCCGTTGCCGAGCTGTGCAGCGAGAGTATCACATTTTGGTTCTTCTGCTGGTAGTTGTTGTTGTTGTTGATGCTATTGCTGCTGCAGCTGCTGCCGGTGCCGGTGCCGATGCCGGTGCTGTTGCTGCTGTTGTGGCCCAAGCCCATGCCCAGCTCCAGCTGCTGCGCCTTACGTAACTCCTCGGCACAGTTGCGCAAAATGGGCGACACCGGCGTCCGCATCGTCGTCGCATCCATGGCCAGAGCCACCGGCGACATGCGGCCCGGAGCACAGCGCTGATTGCTGTTGGTGTTGAGCAGCACCAGGCCCGGATAGCGGCTGATGCGCGACCAGGCCACGGGACCATCCAAGCGATTAGCAGGAGTCGGATGCTGGTGCTGCTGCTGCAGCGGCTGATGTTGCTGCTGCTCAACGAGATCTGTCGTCTCCAGATTGCAATCGCGCACGGCGGCCATCAAGCGCTGCAGACGCTCGCGCGGATTCCGCTGAATGTGCGTCGAGAACTCCTGATCGTAAAAATCGTTCTGTATGCTCGACATCGAACCACAATTCAGACTGTTGCCACTGCCACTGCCACTGCCGCAGTTGCTGTTGCTGCTGTTGCTGTTGCTGCCCGTCGAGCTGTCGCCGCTGCCGCCGAAGCGTTCGCTATCGTATAACGACTTGATGCTCGGGTGTCTCAAATAACCAATGCGGCCGAGCAGCTGATCGCAGTCGACGCTGCCGCCATCGTCCAGCTGGCGCTGCAGCTGCAGAGCACGCGATATGGCCTTGAGCTTGCCGCCGCCGCCGCCGCCGCTGCCGCCGTTGTGGCTGCCGTTGCTGCCGAAGCAGGGGCCGTGGCCGATGAGGAAATTGCGATTGAGCAGCGGTTCGAGCACCTGCAGCGGCTGCATCTGCCGGATGTGCGTCATCAGCTTCTCGGTAAATGCATCGTGATCCTCCTCCACCTTGGACAGCTTGCGCACGCGCTTCTTCAGCATGGGTGAGCTCATGCCGGAGCCGCTGCCCGCAAGTAAATGTCCCCCGCTTCCACCAATGCCGCCGCCACCACCACCACCTCCTCCTCCTCCTCCTCCTGCCGTGCCAGCGCCACTGCCACCGCTGCCTCCGCTGCTGGCCATCGGCCCGCCCAGCTGCACATTGCCCGGCATATTGGTCAGCTGCACCACAGCGCCGGCTGGCAACGAGCCGGGCATGTCCCGCAGGCTGCTACTGGCGGCAGCAGCAGCCGCCGCCGCAGCAGCAGCAGCCGCGGCTGCAGCGCCAGCAGCGGCATTCGCATTGCTGCGCCGAGGTCTCTGCGCCTCGCGCTTACGTCGCTTACGCTGCTCCGCGGCCTTGGGCTCAGCCAGAGCTGTTATTGTTGTTGCTGCTGATGCGGATGCTGGCGGTTGCTGTTGCTGTGGCAGCATTTGTTGCTGATGGAGCTGCTGATGTTGTTGATGTAGCTGATGTTGCTGCTGTTGTTGTTGCTGCTGCAACTGTTGTTGCTGCAATAGCTGCTGCTGCTGTTGCTGTTGGTGTTGTTGCTGTGGCTGTTGTTGTTGGTGTTGTTGTTGCTGCTGCTGCTGCAACTGTTGTTGTAAAAGCTGCTGCTGCTGCAAGTGCATTTGCAACTGTTGATGTTGCTGTTGCTGTTGCTGCTGCTGTTGCTGCTGTAACTGCATTTGCAGCTGCTGCTGCTGCTGCTGATGCTGCTGTTGGTGTTGTGGCTGCTGTTGATGCTGCAGTTGCTGCTGTTGCTGCTGTTTCTCATATGCGGCTGCTGGCGTTGCTATGCGTGCCTTTATCAGCTCATGATCCACGTTGTTGCTATGCCCCACAGCAATTTCGCTCTTTACTTCCTTTTCCTCAGCATGTTGCTGCAATTGCTGGTGTTGCGGTTGCTGTTGTTGCTGTTGATTTTGCTGTTGCTGTTGCTGCAATTGTTGTTGTTGCTGCAATTGCTGCTGCTGTTGTAATTGCTGCTGTTGCTGCAACTGCTGCTGTTGCTGTTGTAGCTGCTGCTGCTGTTGTTGCTGCTGTTGCTGTTGTAACTGCTGCTGTTGCATGGGCAACTTTCGCTTGATCGCCTCGCTATTGAGCAGATTCACATTTGGCTGCTTCTCCTGCAGCTTCCAGCTGTCGCCACTGAGCACAGGAGCGGACAGATGCTGCTGCTGTTGCTGTTGCTGCTGCTGCGGCTTCTCCTGCTCCGTGTCGTCCTGCGGCTCCAGCTTGTTCAGCTTGTGCAGCTCCTTGCTGGGCTTGGTGGTGATGGAAATGGTCACATTCGAGACGTGCCCTGTGCTCAGCTCGTACGGCGGCGGCGGCGGCAGTGGCTCCGTCTTGTTGCTGCTCGGCTCCACGAGCAGCGCGGGCAGCTTATTGGTCACGGCGGGCTGGGCAGAGGGCGCAACTGTTGCAACTGTGCCAGCAGCGGTCGCAGCAGCTGCAGCGGCAGCAGCAGCGGCAGCGGCGGCGGCTGCAGCTGAGGCAGCAGAGGCAGAGACGGGTGTGGATATGAAGGATGTCTCCTTGGATACAATTTGCACCGACTGCTTGAGCTGTGGTGCTGGCGGTGCAACAGCAACTGTTGCTGCTGTTGCTATGGGCGGCGCTGCTACTGTTGTTGCTGCAGCAGCGGTTGTTGTTGTTGTCGTTGTCGCTGCTGCTGTCACAGCTGTGTTTGCTGCTGCAGGTGCAGGCTCTTGCTGCTGCTGCTGCTGCTGCTGCTCGACAGCTGGCGTCGCCGTGGGTGTGGGTGTGGCAGTGGGCGTAGGCATAGGCGTGGCCGAAGCCGCCTGACTAATTGCCACCATGGTGGCCGTTGTTGTGGTGATTGTATTGCAGCTGCCGCTGCCGCTCGTATTACTACTGCTGCTGCTCACAGCTGCCGGCACGGGCGGTATAACGGGCCGTGCCAGCTGCGCCTCCAGCGAACTGACCAGACCCATGCTCGGCGCCCGCACATTGATGACCTTGCGCGCCGACAGCGGCGCCGATGTAATCGATATCTGTTGCAGCGTGTTGTGGCTGCTGCTGTTGTTGCTGCTACTGTTGTTGTTGTTGTTGTTTGTGTTGCTATTGCTGCTGCTGCTGCTGCCGCTGCTGCTGCTGCTGCTGCTATTCTGCAGTAACTGCTTGAGCAGCGCATTATTGGAATCATCCACACGCGTGTGCAACGTAATGCGTTTCTCTGTGGTGTTGCCCAGTTGTTGTTGCTGCTGCTGTTGCTGCTGTTGCTGTTGTTGCTGTTGCTGTTGTTGCTGCTGTTGCTGTTGTTGTTGCTGCTGTTGTTGCTGCTGTTGCTGCTGTTGTTGCTGCTGCTGTTGTTGCTGCTCGTCCTGCTGCTGCTGCTGCTGCTGCTGCTGCTGTTGCTGTTGCTGCTGTTCAGCTGGCAACTCCTTGTGGTTATCAACCGGCACCGACGCCTGCTTAACCAGCAACAGCTTCGGCTTCGCTTCACCGTCGCCAGCATCGACCTTCGCCTCGGCCAGCTTCACCGTCTGCGCCTTCAGCTGCAGCTTGCCCACCGTCTCGGCGTCCAGCGTGCTGAAGGGCTGCATTTGCAGTGTGGCGCCGCTGTTGGCCGATGTGGTGATCATCTTGGACTTCTGCTGGCCCATCGCCGTCTTGGACACCACCAGCGAGATGTTCTTCTGTATGGAGATGATGGGCCGTGCGCAGAGCGTGGCGCCGGTCGTTGGCTTCGGCAGCGCCTCATCCCCGCCAGCAGCGGCGCCCTGCTGCTGCTGCTGTTGCTGCGGCGCCTGCTGCTTGAATATGTTGATGCTGGGCGTGCAGTGCAGCTGGCCCTTGTCCAGCTGCTTGATGACAACGTTGTTCTTGATCTTGCCAAACTCGGTGCTCAGTTCGCCACCATCCATGGACTTGCTCTTGTTCAGCAAGATCTTCTGGATGTTCTCGCTGTAGGTAATTGTCTTCGGCTGTTGCTGCTGTTGTTGGTCGTGTGCTTCGCCATCGTGCTGTTGCTTGTCCTGCTGCTGCTGCTGTTGCTGTTGCTGCTGCTGCTGCTGCAGCATGGTAAATGTTTGTCCAGAATTTGTTGGGGTTATCGTCACAATGCTGCCGGTGCCGGGCTGCTGTTGCTGCTGCTGCTGTATCTGCAATTGGAGGTGTTGCTGCTGCTGCTGCTGGAACTGCAGCGACATCTTCTTGCTGACCACCTTGGCGGTGACGATTTTGGTATTGGCGGGCTTGATCTGTACATTGGCAAAGGAGACGATTGTGGTGGGGTTCTTGCGCGACTTGACCAGCTTGAGGTTCAGTTGTTGTTGCTGCTGGTGCGGATGTTGCTGGAGCGGGTGTTGCTGGTGTGCATGYTGCTGGAGCTGCTGCGCCTGCTGGGCGGTCACCGTTGCCGTCGTCACCGTCGTACCCGGCTGCTTGCTCTCCACAATGGTGGCGCCGCCCGCCGTAGTCGCACCGCTCGCACTCATAAACTGGCCGCCCTGCAGAATCTGGGGCTTGACCAGCGGCACCGATATCATCTTGTTGCCAATGGACACCTTGGCCGTTGTCTGCGTGCCCTCGGCCAGTTTCTTGGCATTCACCATCACCTGTTGGCCCTTGTACTTGGTCTGGAAGCTGACGCGATTCAGCAGCGTTGTTGTTGCCGTCGCCGTCGCTGTGCCAGCGCCCGTTGCTGTGCCGCTGTTGAACATGTTGTAGCTGCCCGGCTGCAGCTGGGCGGCCGTTGTTAGCTTTGTGGCAATGATGCTGCTGCTGGCAATACTATTGCTGCTGTTGCTGGCAATGCTATTGCTGGTGCTGCTGCTGCTACTGCTGGCGCCGCCGCCGCTGCTGCTGTTGTTGTTATTGTTGCTGCTGCTGCTGGCATTGCTGCCAGTGGCATTGTTGTTCGTAACTGTTGCTTCAAGTTGCTGCGCTGCCGCTGGCTTCAGCTCAGCCGTAGTCGTTGCTGGCAACAGCACATAGTCCAGCTCCTGAATGGTCACCGTCTTGCCCAGCTGTGGTGGCGGCTGAGACTGCGACTGCGACTGCGACTGTGCCTGTGACTGCGGTTGCTCGCTGCTGTTGCTCGGCGTCGGCTCAGCACTCGACTCAATGGATATAATGGAGGCTGTGGAGGAGGATGAGGAAATTGATGCTGTTGTGACATCTTTTTTGGTAAAGCTGGCATAAGCTGCAATACGAAATATAAATTTATTATAATTACAACACAGATTGTTCAGAAACTCAAACTCACTTTGCTTTGGGTTGTTGCTATTGCTGATGTTGCTGTTGCTGCTGCTGGCGTTGGTGGTGTTCGTGTTGGTGCTGGACGACTCCTCTGGCTTGATGGCGTTCATTTCACATACGATTATTTGATCATCCCGCTGCTCCCAACAGACGTCAGCTGAAGTTGTTGCAGCTGCAGCGGCAGCGGCAGCTTCTGACTTGGTATTCGCGTGACTAACGAAATTGCCGCCAATGCTGATGCTTGCTGTTTGTGACTCGTCAGCCGTTAATTTGTTTATGGATGATGATGATGATGATGCTGCTGGTACTACCACGGCAGCTACTGCTCCTGCTGTTGCTGCTGGCGCTGTTGTTGCTGCTGCTGCTGCTGTTGTTGTTGTTGCTGTTGTTGTAGCTGTAGCTGTAGCTGCACGTTGTTTGGCGGGTAAACTGGTTGTGGGCGTGCATATAACTATATCGCGCTTCAGTTTCTTGCGATTCGGATCGTCGTTGTCGTCCACACTGGTGCGCTTCTGTATGGATATTGTATTAAAATTGAGCGCTGCCGTTGCAGATGTTACACGTTCGGGTTTCGCTTTTTCGGCGGCAGCAGCCGCAGCAGCAAGCGATGTTGTCACTTTCGATATATTCATAACAACAAACTAAGCGGCCAAACACATTTAAACGCTAGCAATTGTTGCTTAATGCACTTGGATATGGAGTTCTATTTGTTTGTATGTACATATAGAGAATGTTTCAAAACATACACTATTTAGACAAAAAAAAATTACTTTTCGTGTATGCGCAGGGTATCCTAAACTTTAACCAGTGATAATATATGAAGAAAAATACCACACTTTGACAGCGTTGCATTTTTCGATAACAATATGTACACACACCCACACGCAAATACCTTGTTTCCATCAACGCAACCAATCGCAAATTATACACCTGCACAGGCAACCTGTAGGACTGTTTGGAGCATTACAGCACATATTGTAATATTGGGCATTTTATTATCTCAAATATCTAAATGAAATCATTTTCCTTACTAATCTACAGTATATAAACACTGTGAATATAACGCGCACCATCATAAAATATATATGCGATAACGAAATGTGTGTGGCAACGCTACTGCGAAAACAGTGCTGCTTCATTTACAAAAAATATATAAGTACATACTAAAACTCAGAAAATTGACGTAAGCATAAATTTAATTTGTGAAATAATGACTTGTTGATTGCTAGGCAAACCAATTGTAATAATTTTGGGTATTATTGCGACAACGGTCTGGCAACGCTGCGCTGATGCAACCATCAACAGAACAAATTCATGGATTTAAGATTATATTAAATAAATATATTAAAAAGGAAACATGTGGTGCTTAAAAACCGTCACACAAGTCTTGAAAAACAGCATAGCATGTGAGACGATATAGCTAATCACAACCACCGAACTGTTTTGATTCAATACCATCTAATTTACAGCTGCCAATGTGAACTACAATTGCGTAGCCGGCCTCAAATATTTCCCACCGCCAATCAAATATGAAAGTATGCCATCATAAAATATACATTATTACTATTGTATCAAATTGCGGCTCGCATTGCAGATATCGAGAAGGTGGATCGACCCAAGCTGCGTATCATGGAGCGCATGCCCCAGCTGCCGCCCAATCTTCGGCCACCCAAAATGCAGAAACGTCTGCGCTACATGCGCGGCCCAGAGCTCGTCCACAACCAGCTGCTCCACAAACAATATGGGATCATTGCCACAGGTGGCGGTCGCTTGCGCTGGGGCCACTACGAAATGATGCGTCTGACCATCGGTCGCAAGATGAATGTGAACACAATGTTCGCCACATGGCGAGTGCCAGCGCCCTGGCAGCCAATCACCAAGAAGGGTCAAGGCCAGCGTATGGGCGGTGGCAAGGGCGCCATCGATCATTACGTGACCCCGATTAAGGCCGGTCGTGTCATAGTCGAAATCGCTGGCAAATGTGAGTTCGTGGAATGCAAGGGCTTCCTGGAGCAGGTGGCCAATCAGCTGCCATTCCAGGCCATGGTCGTCTCGCAGGAGATGCTGGATGAACAGCAGGCCAAGGAGGAGCAATTGGCACGCGAAAACCAAAACCCATTCACATTCAAATATGTTGTACAAAATAATCTAAATGGTTGCCATCGATGGCTGTCGCCCGTGGATCACAAGTGGTTCGGCAAGCATTTATAGATAGCTCATATCTGATTAAGCAAATGTTTTAATAAAACATGAAATTGTTGTGTTGGCCAAACGAATTAGTGTCTTTTGAAATATCCAAGTACAGTGCTCACACATTATGGGTGTCTCGCCTAGCCAGAGTCTACTGTACATCAACAATTTGCCCGTGCTTGACTGCACACACAACCAACACAAGGGTTATCGATAGCACGTGCGCCATTTCAGTTGCTTCCAAACTGTTGGCGTTGCCATTCGACAAAGAAAGAGAAGGAAATACATGCAATTCCAAGTTTTTGAGTTGAAAAACGTTTTTTGTTTTAATTTATGATTCTATTGCAAACATTCGTTTAATTTCCATTTTTGTTTTTGTTTTTGTGTATATGGGTAATATGTAAGATTTCGTACTTTATATATGTTTGTTCTGCTTTATGTTAATATATAATGTAATGTGTGTATTTTAATTGCACGACTTTCATAATCGCCGTCGAACTCGTCATCGTCGTCGTCGTCGTCATCGTCTTAGTTGTCGTGATCTTCTCCTTGCATCATCCGCTTATCATGTGTGCTTAACAGTCGGTATCGTACCAGGCAGCCAAGTTATTGTTGTCATTGGGTGGCGTGGGCATGGCATCCAAATCAAAGTTCAAAGCGCCCGCATCAATCTCGCCGACATCCATATCCATGGAGTAGGGCGATGTGGGTGCCCCACCGGGCGGAGCAGCGCCACCGGCGCCAGCACCACCGCCAGCAGCATTGCCAGCAGCGCCAGCACCACCACCTACCGGACTGCTGATCTCGAGACCTTGCATTGAATCTATTGGTAGAGTATCATATCCTGCACGAATGAGAAGTCAAACCAAAAATAATTAAAACAAATCATTCAAATATATACAGTTTTCGCTATGAAGAAATATATCGAATAATACCATAGAATAAAACATGCTTTTACTTTTACTTTTGCATGTTTATACATAGTACACATATACACATATTTGTATATAATTATATGATTTATTGTTCATTAAAGAAACATGCAAAATTAATGTTTAATTAACGTCAACATAAACGTAATAAATCATATTTGGTAAATTGTTCAAGAACTGAAATTGTTGAGGGCGTCTCCTGCTTCAAGTCAAAATTGTGAGTTTCTGTGTGTGAGTGTGTATGTGTGTTTCTGTGATTATGGTAAGTATGTATGTATGTGTATATATAAACTAACTATGCTGGCTCCCCTATGAGAAATGAAAGGGAATGGAACACATGAAAGCACCGAAGACAAGTTGATCCACTTCCTAAATGATTTCAAATAAATGCCAATATTTCCACTCCAAGTTAAGTAAGCCCCATTTGTACCCATTTTCTAAAGAGCAGAGACAGTTTAAATTATTAGCGGATAATAGGGTTGGTTTATAACTAACTAAACAGACGCAAAGAGAAATGAAGTAAAGTTTTGATGAATTTGGATGAATGCACACACACACATACATATATATATGTATGTATGTAGCACATTTTACATGCACATTGTCAATGGATGGCAGTGATTGACTAGGGGGGAGATTGCGCTATCCATAACGACTGTGTCTGGGGTTCTGAATGGGGTACAGGGCACATAAATGATAAACATGTGTCAAGCATAAGAGTCGAAGATTTAAGAAAAGTTCACATGATCTACATTTCGATTTGGTGGGCAAATCCTAATTAGAACTGGTTCATGTGAATTTCACTTTTCAGTTCGATGACTTGTAATCGAGTAAGGGGTGGGTGGGAAGGACAGCACTCGTGTATTAATCGATAAGACATTGAAATATGTATTTATATATAGTATATGCATAACGGTTAATCACTTATGTTTGTATATATCGATATATAAGTGCACTCAGGTTTCACCAACGAACGACACTTGTTCAGCAATCGCTTAGACACTTAGTATGTATGTTTGCAATAATTGTTAATAAGGACACTTAAATACTAATTGATTAATGATGATGATTATAACGGTTGGCTCCTTGGGGTGTGTTGGACCATGATGGGGTTAGTGTGTTAACTACGGTGAGGTGGGGGGTGGCAGAACTTGTCAATTTAGCTTTTTCGCTGCATTTTTTTTTTTTTTTGTGTTTTGTTCTTGTTTTTGGGTTATCCATTTTTTTGTCATCTGATGGTTTCGGCTTGAACAAATATAATGAATAGACACACACATTCATAAATTGATTAATTGCAATTAGATGAGGGCTGGGGCAGGGGCAGGGGCTGTGGCGATGGGCGGGGTTAAGACTTGTGATTGATTAGTGTTGACTGTAGTAGAGATCCTTAAAGCCGTACTAGGTAGGTGGAAGCGAGCATACATACCTTGCTGATGGAATGCGCGACCTCCGTGCGAACTGTGCACACTGGGCGGACCTTGTCCGTACAGGCCCTCATATGCTTCTTCGGGTCCAAGCATATCCTGTCATCGTGATCGTGATCGTGATCGTGTTCGTGATTGTGAACGTGAACGTGATTGTGTACGTGTACGTGTTGTCAATTTGAGTGTGTGTATTGTGTGTGTGTGTGTGCGAAAAGTGGGTTGGAGTGTGTGTGTGTGTGTTATTTTTTCATTTTTTTTTTTTTTTTCATTTTTTTATTTTTGGATGGATCAGAAGTGAAAAGTTGTTAGGAAATAGAAGAGAGACACAGACACAGAACACGAGTTTTTGTGTTGCGTTTATGTGTGTGAGAGAGGCAGAGAAAGAGAGAGGATGTGTTCGTTGTTGTTGTTGTTGTGCGTGATGCAAGTGAGATCGGTCGATGTGTTTGGTTCGATTTCGGTAATGTTTTTTTTTTTTTTTTGTTTTTTTGCACACAAACAAAACATAATGTAAGAAAAAAAGAAACGAAATAAATCAAAATTCAAATTAATTACAAAATCAAAAATTAAACGGTAATTAGTAAACATATTTAAATTAAAATAGCTAAAT